GGTGAGCAAACTGTGCCGCTTCTGAAACATACATTGAAGGGAAGGAGAACCAGCTGCATAGAATATAGTGCCTTTTTTTTCTTTTTAAGAAATTGAGTTATTGTCTCTGACAATCAGCAGCAGGTTTGACATTTGGGGGAGGGGGCGGGGAGGACACGCTGTTTCCTTTATTAAAGCATGTTTACCCCAAAGCTATGAGGAAGCAGAAAAGGGGAGGACGGCTGAGTGGGAGACACAGAAGAGTGGAAATGGCACTGGCATCTGGGCACGCTCCCCCGCCCGGTCCTAAGGTGAGTCGTGTCCGTTCATAGGACAGAAGCAGTGCGGGTTCCCACATGTTTCATCCTGCGGACAGCCCCTAGGAGCTGAGCAACCTCGGGACTCCAGGGCCCTGAGACGTGGTGTTCGCATGCGGGGCCTGGGCCCTTTCCCAACCATCAGAGCCGCCTGGCGAGCCGGTGTCGGTGGGTCTGGGTGTGACAGGTGGAAGGCTGGACACAGTTCGTCAAAAGGAAAGAAGGCCCACAGGCTGGGCGGGACTGCTGTGTGCGCCCCGGAGTGAGGGAGGGCTGATCGCGGCCTCCTCGCGGGCCTCCCGGACCTTCCATCCTGGGCGAGCACGGATCCACCCCTCGGCCACACACAGGGTCGTGCAGACTGTGGCGAGATAGACCGGGAGAGCAGGAAAAGTCAGGGAGCCCCCACCTCCTTGTTCTCTGCTCATGCAAATTGCAACATAGCCCCCTCCAAAGAAGCCAGTCTCGGCATTAGGGGTCTGCCCAGCTGCGCTGCCAATCAGAGGAATTGCTGTCCTGGGTCAGGGGAGCTGAAGATTCCATCTGGGGCAGGGCCAACCTGGAGCCCTTGATTGAGGAGAGGCCTCAAAGATATCAGTGGTCACCGAGCCGAGTGGGCGTGTCCCACAGGAACCTAACAGACATGGTTCCGTTAATTGCATTATCGAATGAGGTGGGCTTGTGTCCATGCCGTTTTCTCAAACCGGGGAGAATTTAAGGTGCTCAGGAAGCGTCCAGCAGGCCCGCCCAGGACCTGACGGGTGGGAAGGCCTGTGGGGACAGCAGGCTGTCATCTGGGACCCTGTCTTCAAAGGGTGAGCTGCTGGGCATCCTTAGAAAGGCACTCGGGAATGGTGCCACATGCGGCTGGCTTCGGAGCAGCTTCTACTGCGCTACCTTCTCGGAGAACGGGAGCCTCGCTCCCCACACAGGAGCCCAGTCCCGGCCGCCCAGCTCTCCCGCGCTCCCTCTCGCCCACTGCTCCTGAGGCTGGCCCGGCCCGGCCCTTGCTCTAGTGTCCCTGCGTCTCAGAGGCGCTCCTGCAGCACCGTGGAGCTCCGGGCACATCCACCATGCGGACCCCTGGCCCACCTGGGGAGCCTAATTTGTTGGGTCAAGACTGTGTGGTCCTCGGCATTCCTATCACCTGGAAACTCACTCACCTGCCAGCCAGTCCACACCCACTTCAACCTTCATGGCGGGAGGCCCGGGGAGGCACCCAGGGCTCCTGCTCCGAAGGCCAACCCTGGGTTATTACACCCCCCGTGCAGTGACCCCCGAGTGTGTTAGGGGCCGGCCCGCTGGCTCGCAGCCCGTGCGCACACCTGGCTCTTCATAACCCTGTGTTCCTAATCTGTGCAGTTGGACAGAGAAGGATACATCATGCATGGTGACTGGAGGAGGTGTGTGACCGCCGTCCTCCCTGGCACTTTCTTTTCCTCTGTTTTTTAAGGCGATAATTTAAAGCCTGCCCCAGGTCAGTCTTGCATTATTCATCTTTCACTTGCGAGGGCCGCTGGGAGGAGGTGGCCCACCTCTAGGTGATAGTGATGAGTCCCTGAGGGCCTCACCTGGGAGTCATAGTCAGTTACACTCACAGTCAGACAGCAGTCCCCGACGAGGGGCCAGGCGGGCGCAGGCGGGGCCTGGGAAGGGAGCTCAGGAAAATGGGGTGCGGGATGAGGGACAGGCAGGTGGAGGCGGAGGACAGGTCACTTGGAGTTCAGGTTTGGGCCGGGGAGGTGAGGGTGGTGAATGATGGGATTTGGAGGCATCATGAAGCTGGCCCATGAACTTGGGGGCTTAGCCGGGCAGTGCTACATGCCATGCTCCGAGAGGGCCCGGGTCACGGGTGTCCAGGACACACTCGCCCCATCCAAGTCCCTGCCCGTCACCTTGGGCCTCCCGGAGAGGTGGGAACGTCCTGCTGGCTGAAGCGGGCTCAGGGCTGGCGCCAATTTTCCCCAGATTTGTTATTACATTTGTCTCATAGCTTTAAAATAGTCGCAAATACAGGCAATTTATTTAAACAGCACTAGGGAAATTAATGCCGGGAAGCTCTTCCTGAGCAAATGAAGATAAAGCAGGGCGTCTGGGCTTTGCAATGGCTCTTTGAAGCCCTTTGAAGTTCTGTGTCTGTAACTCAGAAGGCTCAGGTGAGCATCTGCTGGTGCCCAAGCGCCCCGCTGAGGCAGACCTGTGCTCTCCCACCGTCACGCGGGGTGTGGGGGCACCCGGACAGCCCCCCGGAGGCTGTGCTTGTGGCAGGGGCTCCCGGGTCATGGTGCACGAGGTGGGTTGGGCCGAGTCCACCTGCTGCCCTGTGCGGATGTGCTCAAGAGCAGACCCCGCCCGGCCCCTTCTGAGCAGGGACCTGGGGACGGCGGAGGAGTCCCAGGCAAGGCTGTGGGCTTGTGGAGCACGTGGCGCCTGGAGGGCCCCTAAACACAGATTCCGGGCCCAGCCCAGAGGCAGCAGGTCCAGGTGGCACCTGACTCGCCGGGACCTCGGAGCGCTCCCTCCACAGCCTGGGGTTTGTCACTACGTCTTCAGTTGGGACCCTGGTTTCTGCACAGCCACCTAGGTCAGGACTGGGAAAGGGGTGCAACCTCACAGGCACGAGCCGCCAGCAGAGGACGGTCACTCCCCGCCTGGTGCTCTGGCCTTGCAGTCTGACTCCCAGGGTTCAAATCCTGCCTCTGCCTAATGAGCTGTACCCTCGGGTGTTCCTTGGCGCCTCTGAAGTCCCCTGCTGGGTCCATAGTAAAGTGGGGGTGCCTCCACCGAATTAGCGATGGGGCGGATTTGGGTGGAAACGGCGGAACGCTCAGCCCCTGTGGCGTGGAAAGCAGCTGTGCCCTGGATGCCGGGAGAGCGTGTGGCCAGGACTGTCCTAAACGCAGTTCTGCAGACGACCCACCCTGCTCCTCACGACAGGGGTCCCGAGGCAGCGTCCAGCAGTGGGTGCAGTGTCCCAGCCCGCGGGAGCAGGGCCAGAAGGCCACACGTGCCTCCGGGGCTCCTTGCTGAGGAAGGAGGACAGTGACCTGGGAAAGCCCTCGGCTCTGATTGGGGCAAACTCTTGAATTTGGGAGCGGCACACAATGAGACAGCAGGGACCGACGGGACGTTCCCGCGGGTCTCTCACGGGAGTGTGGCTGGCCAGATGGGCTTTCCCTTGGAGTAGCTTTAAGTTTGGGCATCTGGGCGTATAGAAGTTTTATTGTTTGTTGTTTTTTTGGCATCAACAAGGCAGTTTTGTGTGCATGTTTAACTTACTGCTATGCATCTTTTTGGCAAAACAAAATGGGAAGTTTCTCTGTCCACAGAGGACGATGCTAAGACCAGCCGGGGGCCTCAAGGGGCCTTGAGCTCAGCTGGGGGGCGGGGAGGGGGGACCCAGCCAGGATTGCTCAGACGCCTCCAGCCAGTTTTGTCCCCTCTGCCTTGGCTGTCCTGGCCCAGGTCAGCCTTGCCGTGTGAATTCGCGTGCTCGGGGCCCGAGACTCGGCGTGAAGTGAACATCAACCAGGAACACCGGGCTGAGGCGCAATATGGGGCGCCTTGAAAATAAACACAGGTGACAGATGTGTAAGTGCCCCGTGCACACACGAAGTTCTGCTGGCTCCTTTAATTATAGAAAGCCATGCATGTGATAGCGTTCAGATACACAGAAATATAAAAGGAATAAAGTAAAATAAACCCGCTGGTGACCGGAGAACACAGGTGGCCTCTGGGTGCGTTTCTGTCCCACCTCTTCTGGATCCTTTGAAAAATAAGACTTGGCCCTGGCCCGTTTGGCTCAGTGGACAGAGTATCGGCCTGTGAACTGAATCCCAGGTTCGCTTCTGGTCAAGGGCACGTGCCCGGGTTGTGGGCTCAATCCCCAGGGGCGTACAGGAGGCAGCTACTCAATGATTTTCTCTTGCCATTGGTGTTTCTATCTTTCCCTCTCCCTTCCTCTCTGAATCAATAAAAAAAAATATTTAAAACAAAAAAAAGAAGTGGCTGGAGTTTGGCGAGATGAAGGGACTTAGCCGGTGTCCCGTGAACCCTTGCGTGCACATAGTGTGAGACCCAGGTCTGCTCCCGCCCAGCCCCGCGCCCTCCGCCCTCTCCCTGCAGACGGCCCACTCGGTTTGGGAGGTGAAAGGACACATTGTTTTGCTTTGTTTGATTACCGGGAAACATGGGCGGTTTTAGAAATTTATTGGTCCTTTATTTTGCTATTAAGTTTCTATTCATGTCCTTTTCCTGTTATAAAAAAGATTCAAAATGTTTATTGGTTTCTAAGTGCTGTTTGTATAGCAAGGCTGTTAACCCTTTGCTCCTAGTCCAGCAGTTGCTTTTAGGACCTGTTTTCCTAGCCAGGAGTTTTTAAACTAAAATGTATTTGTCCCTTTGTGATTGTTTTCCACTCGGGATTTAAAAGCTCAGTCCATTCTATTGGTTAGTTAACTGCATTTTCTTATTTTTTGTGGCTTCTTCCCTCCCCCCACCCCCACTCCCCACAATGTAATTCTGTTTCTTTGTGTAGATGCATCTGGTTTGGTGTTTTCCCTGACACAGCCCCTCCTCACAACATCATCCCGGCTTTCCCTGTCAATCAGGAAAGTTCGGATTCTCTAATTGACGCCTTCTCCTCAGAGCAGAACCTAACCACGTGGTGGCTCTTGTCTCCCCCTCCCCACCCCACCCCCAAAGATGCCGCAGATGCCTCAGAAAGGAAGGAAGACTCCAGCCCTGGACCTCACCCCGCCTCCCAGAGACGTGCTACTGCCGTGGCCCCAGCACCCACCTTCCAGTGGCCTGGGCCTGCGGAGGCAGAAGCGGGACTGGGTCATCCCACCCATCAACGTGCCGGAGAATTCTCGCGGGCCCTTCCCGCAGCAGCTGGTGCGGGTAAGTGCAGGCCCCCTCCTGCATGGGGACCCCCTCCTGCATGGGGCGGGGAGCCCCCTGCGTGGGGAGCCCTCCTGTGTGGGGAGCCCCTCCTGCATACAGACCCCATTGTATGGAGAGCCCCTCCTGAGTGGGGAGCCCCTCCCTGCGTGGGGAGCCCTCCTGTGTGGGGAGCCCCTCCTGTGTGGGGTGGGGAGCCCCCTGCGTGGGGAGCACTTCCTGCATGGGGAGCCCCTGCGTGGGGAACCCCTCCTGTGTGGGGAGCCCCTCCTGTGTGGGGAGCCCTCCTATGTGGGGACCCCCTCCTGTGTGGGGAGCCCCTCCTGCGTGGGGAGCCCTCCCTGCGTGGGGAGCCCTCCCTGCGTGGGGAGCCCCTGCATGGGGAAGGTCTAGGCTTCCCAGCCTCTGCTCTGCAGATCTTGCCCATCAGGTCTGATGGGCTTGCTCCTGGTGGCGGGAGGGGTTTGCATTTGTATCTAAGGTTGAGATGTCGCCTTTTCAGTGAGAGTTACACGAATGACAGAGCAGAGAAACCCAGGGGGCATCCAGTTGTCCAGGGCAGATGGGCTGCGTGAGTTGGGTCCCCTGGGTCCCCTCTCTCGCAGTTACTGTCAAGTGACTGCGCCCAAGAGTGGGAGGAGGCGAGGCGGGACTTTGGTTCAGGCCCTTGGCCTCTGACACCTGTCTTTGGCCTGATCGTTCACACGCCTTTCAAACGATGACAAAGTTGCTGAGCGGTGGCGTGACTGTATGATGATCTTGCTGAAAAGTCACAAGACTTGAGTCTGGACTGTGATTCTGAGTTGGCAGGGGCTTCATAGCCAATGACTGAATCCATTCCGGCTGCGTAGTGAGGCCCCACCACAACCCACAGGCCCTGGCTTGGAGGGCTTCCAGGGTGGTGGCCACGTGGGCGCGGGGGCAGTGGTGCTCCGGGGAGGGCATGGAGCCTCCACACCCTTCTCCACACCTTGCCCTGCGTATCTCTCTCACCGGCCTGTCGCCAGTTATATCCTTTATGATTAACTGGCAATCTAGTGAGTGAACTGTTTCCCTGAATTCTGTGAGCTGCTGTGGCCAATTAAGCGATGCAAGAAAGGGTCATTGGAACCTCCGATTGATAAACAGCCACAGGTCAGCAGCGGTGACAGCCTGGACGGGGGGTTGGCATCGCAGTGGGCAGTCCTGAGGGCCTGAGCCT